AAAATTCAAACCACTCCATTTGTTACTCATATATGATCCTGAATAGGAAAAGATGGAAGGGGAGGTGAGACAACTAATGGATTTAAAAAGTTACTTGGTGGTGTAAATGATTCATGTCAACTTTATTTCCTACTGCTATTGATGGTTTGTCCTGGAGCCAAGGGAATTTCCAATAAAATAATAGTAGAAGCCCTTTCTTTTAAATAGTACAATCTTAATTGAAACACATTCTAATTAAAATCTCTCTAGTAGATAGATCCTTAAAGTTTCCTTAGCTCTTTCTTAGTTTATCTTACCACACTAATCCCAGAAGCTTGGTTTTGCTGACATCAGCACCCTGATGTTGTCAGATGAACTTCAACATTCAGGCTGGAATGATGCCAGCAGAACACAAACATGCCATCGAACGGGCGAGAGAACCAGGAAAAGGAGTCAGGAGGCTTGTTTGCTGGCACTTCCTGGCCATGTGATTTTGGGCGACTCACCTAAGGTTCATGTTTCCTGTTAGTAAATTGGGGATAAAAATCCTTGCTCTGCCTATCTCAATTGTTATCATGATGATCAAATCAAATAGCGTATGTGACAGTTCTTTGCAAAATTTTATGTAAATTGGAATATGAAGTTTTATGTAAGAAAACCAAATACCCTAAGATGCCATGCCTTGAGGAAGCGCCAGCTAGCCAGGTAGAGAGAAGAAGGGGAGGAAAAACATCTGTTTTCCCCTACTCATCTTAGGTTGATTGGCTGTAAATTAGAATGTCCAAAGACAGGTTAACATGATTAAAAAAATAGAAGGCTAGTAACACATGCATCATGCCTACACATGGGAGCACTCAGAGATGAGTAACTCAAAGAAGTGGTTAGAACTCAGGTTTACATAACATCTAACAAAAGAGCAACACATTTTTAGAGAAGTGACAAGATGAAGGCAAAAGATTTTGAGTTTCTAGGGCAGCAAATTGTGAGAAGACAAATATATGGGGGAACTAATGTAAAATAAGTGCTAGCTGGTAAAGTTGGTTATGTAGATTCCTCTAGTGCCATCTCTGGGCTGACCAGGGTCTAGAGTTGTCTCCAGTGATTAACTTTTGTCCTTCCTGGTAGAGAAGGGAGGGGGAGCACCTTTACAAATTTATGTGCTAGTTTTAGACAAATAGGAGGGAAGAGAGTTTTTCTTGCATTTGCTTCTTCTCAAATACCTACAGCTCAAAATGATTATTTTATACCGAAATGACATGCTTTGGGGTGCCATGTTCTGCTACTTTTTAAAGGCCATAAGGAGAAAGAGAGAGAATTGCCCAGCCAGTCCGTTTCTTCCAGCCATTCCAGATGTGGCATCAGATGTGTGAATGAAAAACCATCTTGGACATCCAGTCCTGACTAGCTGCTGACTGCAACTACAGGAGAGACCCCAAGCACGAACCACCCAGCTCAGCCCAGTCAACTGAAGACCCATGCGAGATAATAAGTTGTCTTACGCCACCAAGTTTTGGGGTGGTCTGTTATGCAGCAATCGATAACTGGAATATAGAATGATTTTATTTTTTCTTTTTCATGGAAGGTTTGTCAAGTCAATTAGTGTAGAATTTCTTGAGATATTTAGGACAAAGTCACCAATATCAGGACCTATTTCGGTTGATTTGCTGCCTCTTGCCAAAGGCACATTGTTCTAGAAAGTGCATTCAAGGGGGCACTGGGAAGAAAATGACTGGTGAATCAAGGGCAGAACAGAAGGAAGAGGGAAAACATGTCCTACTTTCAGGCTACATATTTTTTGCTCTCGTAAATGATTGCTTTGAACAATTGCATAAGTTATGGTTTTTCAAAGGACAGATTTTTGTTTTTCTTAGAATGTATTGAAATTCTCTTGTGCTTTAATTTGAGGCTGATTAGAACTGCTCTGTTAATTATCTTTTTTGTTAAAGTCAGGTTTGTTGAGTTTTTTTTCAATTTATTTATTATTTATTTTATTTTTTATTGCAGTAACAGTGGATTATAACATTATACAGCTTTCAGATGTACATCATAATATATTTCAATTCTGTGTAGATTATATCATGCTCACCACCCGAAAACTAATTAGAGTCCATCCCCTCATTTTCCCACCCCCTTCCCCCTTCCCCTATGGTAACCACCAATCCAATCTCTGTTGCTATGTGTTTGTTTGATGTTGTTTTTATCTTCTACTTATGAGTGAGATCGTATGGTATTTAACTTTCTCCCTCTGACTTATTTCACTTAGCACAATATCCTCAAGGTCCATCCATGTTGTCACAAATGCCCAAATTTCATCATTTCTTATGGTTGAGTAGTAGTCCATCGTGTATATATACCACATCTTCTTTATCCGTTTGTCCCTTGATGGGCACCGAGGTTGCTTCCAAGTCTTGGCTATTGTCAATAATGCTGCAATGAACACAGGGTGCGTGTATCTTTATGCATTTGTGTTTTCAAGTTCTTTGGATAAATACCGAGCAGTGGAATAGCGGGATCATATGGTATTTCTATTCTTAATTTTCTGAGGATACTCCATACTGTTTTCCATAGTGGCTGCACCAGTTTGCACTCCCACCAGCAGTGTACTAGGGTTCCCTTCTCTCCACATCCTCTCCAACACTTGTTGTTTCCTGAGATATCATTTATATACAGTAAAATTCACACTTTTTAGGTGTACAGGTTATGAGTTTGATAAGCATGAAAGGCCATAACCTCCACCAGAGTCAAGATGCAGAGTATCTCAATAACCCCAAAAGTTCCCTTGTGCCCCTTGATGCTCAGTCACTTCCTTCCATCCTCACCTCCTGCTAACCACTGACCTGATTTCTGTCCGTATAGCTTTGTCTTTTTCACACTGTCATATAAGTGGAACCACACAGTACATGGTCTCTTGAGTCTGGCCCCTTTCACTTAACATAATGCCTTGGAGATTCATCCAAAGTAAGAATCCGTTATTTCAGATTATCACTTTTTCTTACGTGTATTCTAAGGGTATGCAAAGTTGTGAATAAATAAGTCACAGGGTTGTCTCAGTGTTTCTCAAAGTTTTGCCTGAGGACCATTTGCATGAGAATCACCTTGGGTGCTTGTTAGACTCTCATATTCAGATCTACTGAGTCAGTGTCTAAGCTACTCAGTAATGTATTATTAACACGTTAGTAATGTATTAGCAAGCCCCCCACTACACTTTTGTGCACAACTAAAGTCAGAAACCCTCAGGTATCCAGAATGAACCAGAATATCAGAGTTAGATGGTTCTGCATTTGACTCTAGCTCTGGCATTTACTAGCTGTATGAAGTTAGGCAAATTATTTAAACTCCCCGCATCTGTTTTTTCTTTTGTACTTGGAAATAATTAATTTATTCACCGAATGTTTTTGAGCATCTATTATATGATAGGCATGATCCTAGGAACTAGGATTGCAGCAGTGAATAAGACATAGTCCCTTCCCAAATGGAGCACGCATTCTGTCAGAACAAGATAACAAGCATTTAAGCACATATATGTACATGAGATAATTTTGGATAGTGACACTCTGTAGAAAGTGAAACAAAGTTTTGACATAGAGGGTACCTTAGTTAAGAAACAGTCTAGCCTACTTGTGACAAAGAAACTCAAAAATACATTCAAACAAAATCAAGGTGGTTTTTTCCCCCTTTGTTTGTAACTGTCTGGAGGAGGTGGTGAGGACAGAGGTGGGATGGCTCTGTCATCCTCATCTCTGCAATCTTTCATCTCTCCATTCTCTAGCTGCTTCCACTCCTATCACCTTGTCTGTTTTCCAAGTAGGAAGAAGGAGAAAAAGTTTGTGGGGAATGCATGCCATTTTTTTAACGGCACATCCCTTGTGTTCAGTCTATTGTTGAGATGCAGACCCACCTGCCTGCAAAGGAGACTGGGAAATGTAGTCTCTACTGCTGTGGCCATGTGTTCAGCTAAAATTCCAGAGGAAGAGGAGAACTGATACTGGTGGACAACAGCAATCTCTGCCAGAGAGTGACTGGATGAGGAAGGAGGCCACTTTAACCTGGCTAGTCAAAGAAGACCTCTTTTAAAAAGTGATAGGTGAAGGGGCCAGATAGTAGAGCAAGGCTGAATTCAATCCTCACTGTGACTCCCACTAGATCACAGTATATGGGCCCTCATGTAGCAGGTAGCTGATTTACAGGGTCTGCACTGCCTTAGAGCTGATTAGGATCAGGACAATTGGGACAAGATCTTCCCCCAGAGAAACTGTGAATCTCAGATGAAAGTTTCATTCTCCTTTGTCAATATATATTTTTTTTTTTTTAAAAAACTCATTTGAGGGATATTTCCAAGAAATTGGAAAAAAACAAAGTAACTTAAATGTGATTTTAATGGACTGTTTATTATATTCAAGGATGGATTTTCCACTGGTTATCAAACGATATCAAAATAAGTATGCCCGGCTGCTAATATTCTATATCTTGATCCTGGTGGTGGTTCACATGGGCAAATTAACTCTGCAATAATTCATTAAGCACGTTTTCATCAATACGTTTATGATTCATGCACTTTTCTGTATTTAAGTTATACTTGAGTTAAAAAAAAAAAAAAAAGACAAAGGAAGGCATCCCAGAGGGTACTGTGTGTGGCATTGTCACAAAGGTTCTGTCAGGGCTAGTGGATCTTAGCAAGATGTGCTCAAGGTAAGTTGTGTTTTCAGCATCACAGAAAATTCACCACCGACCTTGATTCTTTTTTGAAAGGACAGGGAAAATGTTGATGTCACACTGAATCACCAGTAAGGAATTCTAAACTACAGGTTCCCACGTGACCTACCACCCGGCGTCGCCCCAGGTTTATGCCTTGCACTTCCAAATCTAAGAACCGCCCATCTCTTCTGGACCACTGTTCACTGCCTTCATGAGGAGCACGAAGAAGCCAAGTCTTTTTCTTGCATCTTTTTATCTGTAAGGCAAACCATTTTTGAAAAATGAAACATATATGTCTCACATTGGACTACATCGAGAACAGAGACTGGAAAGAGATGCCAATGTATCGGGCAGCATGTCCTACGGTTAATTTTTTTTAACCTCTTTGGTGGCCGTGGATCGTTCGGAGAATATGATGGACCCTGTGGACCCTCTCCCCAAAACACCGCGCAGTAGGGTCAGTTCTCCGCCTCATCTTACTGGCCCCATCAGCAGTATTTGCACCGTGCATCACTCCCTCCGCTCTCTCGGCTCTCCCGTCCGGGTCCCGCCTCAACCACCGCACCCTCCCTGAACTCAGTCATCGACTGCACCTATGGGACTACACTCGCCGGGAGGAGGAGTCGCCTGGAAGCAGGGGGCTCAGCCCTGGGCCGCGGGCGAGCCCGGAACACAGTTACCGGCCCCTGTTGTCCACCGGAACGCGAAGGGAGCGGAACGCGTCAGGCTGGGAACGGAAGAGAGAGCGGGGGCCGTGTTTGGCAGAGGACGAGGTATTCCCGGTGTGTCTGCGGTTGAGTTGTTTCTCCGCGATGTTGCGGAGGATGTCGGCGGTCCTGCCTCTTCGCCCTCTCTCCCGCCTCCCTTTGTGCTCCGGGGGCCCGGAGGCCTTGGCGGCTGCGGTTGTGCTGCTTGGTGCTTCGCCCGGAGCCGTCAGGTATCGCATTTCAGCGTGGCCGGCCCCGCGGGGCTCAGGCGACCCCGTCCGCCTCCGGTGCATTGAGTAATCGTCCCCCGGCTTCCTGGGGTCGCCGGTGTAACCGCGGGAGCTCAGAAGTCTTTGCTCTCAAGCTGAGGAAAGGGGAATCCCAGAGAGATGAAATTACTTGCCCAAGGTTACAGTGTGCGTGGGGCACGGCTGCGGGACCCGCCTGGCTTGACGTCCTGTGCTCCTGCCGCTGCCCGCCGCGCCTCGCCCCCCTTGCGCCCTCTCCCCTCATTTTATCCAGGCCCTTGAGGCGACGTGGGTCTGTTTCATTTTTGCTTCCGCCTCCCAAGACTGTGATGGCCTCATCCCTGCCTCCATTTATTCTTTGGTTCATTTTTTAAAGCGTTTACAGTGTGCCAACACTGGGGTTAAGTCCCAAGTAAGCCCGTCCTGCCGTCACGGAGCTCCTAGTTCCACCAAATAGGCGCCTAAGTATAATGGAGGTAGCACAGATAGTGGAGATAGTCCAGGATGCTCTGTTAATTCAACAGGTAATTGCTGGGTGAGCAACTAGGGACACCTAACCATTGTAGAAGAGGCTCAGAGTGGCCTTTCTGGAAAAGAAGTCTGACAAAATCTGAGGGCGGACCAGGGGTTGGAGTTAGCCAGGCAAGAAAAGGAGTTGTGGCATACTTGGTGTTGGTATTTATCCTCTGAGACCTCTCATCATTATGAAAAGTTAATTCTACTGCATATATTCCACACAAAGCGATTTGGGGCCTGTTTTGTTAAGTACAGCTCTGAAGCAGGTCAGTAGCAGTGGGGATGGGAAGGAGGAGCTGGATGGAGGCGAAAAATCGCACAGGTGGAGTTGATAGGATGTGACGTATGATGAGATAAGGGTGAGGTGGAGCAAAGATTTCAGCTGCCTGCCTTGGAGGATTAGGCTACCGTTAATGTCAACAGAAGAATGAGGAGCAGCTTTCAGAAGGCTTTTAAAAATGTGTCATAGGTTTTAGAATAAAAACATAATTATTTATAGTAAGAGGCCTGTTCAATACAGAAGGATGAAGACGAGCAAGTCAGTCTGGTAGGGGAGCTCTTGAATGTGGTTTTGGATGTGTTGCATTTGAAGTGCTAATGAGATGCCCTCCGTGGAAACAAGCTCAGGTGGGAAGTGAGGGCCTGAGTTTTACTATTTTAGTGTTAGGGAGTTACTTCCTATACATGCGTGATTTTCCTGTATAAATATAGATGGGTTTCTGTGGTACCATAGCAGTCTTGGAAGGAAACATTGAAGTCCGGGTTCTATGTGAGATTTGTTCTCCTGATTGGCACCTTTCTGTTGTAATGCCTTTAACATTAATATGACTTTCACATGTGAAATAATTGGGGCATTTTCCTAAATTGAGTTGTACCATATGTTGAATATTATGAGGGTCCTGTTTACTGTCAGGGTACTAGTTATACAATTGGTTTTTCATTCTAATTTTTAAGTGCGAGATGTGTTAATCTCTGACATTTTCATAAGCAGAACAAATAGTTTGTTTCAGGATTTTTGGAAATAGCCATTTTCTCTTTCATTAAATGTCCCCAGCCTGGCGTTACATTTGCTAGCTTTGAGAACTTGAGATAGTATTTACCCCAGGATCTGATGCAGGTTCTTAAGATGAATTGCATCAGAATTACCTGAGGTCTTGGTTAAGTGTAGATCTTTGAGCCCCATTACGAACTTACCAACTAAGAATCTTAGAAACCTCTTTTAAATAAGCTCCGTAGGTGACTCATGACCTCTAAAGGTTAAGAACCACAAATTTAACCTCTTTGAGCAGCAGTTTCTTCTTCTATAAAACAGGAATAATAAAACCTGTGCTCTAAGATTGTAAGGGTTAAATGACTACATAATATAAGCTACTCAGCTCGTCCTCTGATGGGCAGCATCAGTGTTACCTGGGAACTTGTTAGAAATGCAGACTCTGAGTCCCTCCAGAAAGCTACTGAATCAGAATTTCTTAGTGGGACCAAAGAATCTGTGTTTTAATAAGCCCTCTAGGTAATTCCTATGCACATTAAAGTTTAAGAACAGTGCTCTAGCCTGTTAGCTTCGTAAAGAGAGGGGACAAGAAATTCATATTTTGTAGTGTATTGTCAATGCCTAGTGTAGTGCCCAGCACAGAGTACATATTCACTATACTTAGTGAATGACTTTTTAAACATTATACCCTCTTACTGAAACTAACACATTCATTAGTTTTTAAAGTTCTTCAATATCAAATATCAAAAAGTTTTTAACACCACAAAATATTTGGATTACTTAGAATTGAGAAATCTTTTGCATGAGTTTGAAATAGATATAATCATTTGTGTTCTTTTTCACAAATGTAGCAAAGAAAGCAGAATGACAGTTCTAGCCACTGAATCTTCTTTTTTCTGTTTCATTTTAGCTTAGCTTACAAATGGTGATTGGTTACATGACACATAGCTCAATAAGAAAATTGATCAGATTAGAATAACACCTAGAAATTTTTTTTAAAGAAAGTAACCTTTTTTTATTGATAGAAATGTATTTTTATGCTGTTTAATTATGACTTTTTTTTTAAGATTTTATTTTTTTTCCCTTTTCTCCCCCAAACCCCCTGGTACATAGTTGTATATTCTTAGCTGTGGGTCCTTCTAGTTGTGGCATGTGGGATGCTGCCTCAGCATGGCTTGATGAGTGGTGCCACGTCCACGCCCAGGATTCCAACTGGCGAAACCCTGGGCTGCTGCATCAGAGCACACGAACTTAACCACTCGGCCACGGGGCCAGCCCCTAATTATGACTTTTTAAAGAGATATTGTTATATCATGTTAAGAGCAAGGACTTGGCAGGTAATTTTGAGTTTGAGAATAATAAATTGAAACTTATTAACCATGTCAGTGTTTTGCCTTTTTTTTTTTAATGTTGTGGAACAAATAGAAAATGATATTTGTATAAAACCCCGAGGTAAAAGGAGGGAAGCAACAGGGGCACCAGTAGCCCCGGACCTCACTCAGCCACCCTAAGGGCTAGGTGATCAGTATCTCAGCACATCTGTAACTTATTTTTGGTTCATCAGTGTGTCTTAGGCCTTAGTGAGCTCTGAGCTATGTGACCTTGGGTAAATTACATCATATCTTTGATTTCCAGTTTCCTTATCTGCAGAAATACCTACCTTATGGAGTTGATGTGGGTATCAGAAAATGTACATAAAACATGTTACGCAAGAATAGGCACTTAGTCCGTGTTCAATAAATGTTAAATTGCTGTCGTTACGGTTGCTAACAATAATAAAAAGCAAAAGGAAACTGTTTGAATTGAAAAATTTTAAAAACACATAGAAACAGTGTTCTGAGATCTTGCTTTATTATTTTGCGTTGTATTTTTCAGGTTTTTTTCTTTAATGCATCTTTCTAGGACACAAAATAATATCCAAAGATATTTTGGCACTAACAGCGTGATCTATAACAAGAAGGATGAACAGTCTGTTCCAACCCATGAGATTTCCAAGGAGACGGAGAGCCAAGACAGTGTAAAGGAGAATACGAAAAAAGACTTGTTAAACATTATTAAGGGCATGAAAGTTGAATTAAGCACAGTAAATGTACAAACAACAAAGCCACCCAACAGAAGACAACTTAGAAGTTTGGAGGCCACAGTTGGCAGGCTTCAAAGAGCTCCTGAAGATGCCCCAAAGAAGAGGTAAAGTGAACTGCAATTTGAATGTTCTTTGAAAATCATTTTTGAAACTCCAGCCAGCTTTTTCTTTTAGAAAAACTTTTTTTTTTAAATTAGAGTACATGGGCGGTACTGAATTAGTGAAGACTACTGTTATTGTTCTATATTTAAATAAGGGGACATCTGTATACCCTCTAGAGAGAGGAAAAGAGCAGTCATCTAACTGAGAATTTCAAGCATTCTCTTACGTATTCATCAGTGTTATTAACTGCCAATTAATTGCCTCTTTAAGGTGTAAATTAACAAATCATTTACATCCAAATTTGAAAGTAGCTTTGCATCTCTGAAGGACTTGTTTATTGAAAATTTCCCTTTAAAAAATTCCACTGACAGGGGCCACCTGGTAGCTCAGAGGTTAAGTGCGAACATTCCACTTCGTGGGCCCGGGGTTTGGATCCCGGGTTCGGACATGGCACCGCTCAGCAAGCCATGCTGTGGTAGGCATCCCACATATAAAGTAGAGGAAGATGGGCACGGATGTTAGTTCAGGGCCAGTCTTCCTCAAAAAAAAGAGGAGGATTGGCAGCAGATGTTAGCTCAGGGCAGATGTTAGCTCAGGGCTAATTCCACTGAGGATAGAATTTTAACATGTTATTACAACTATTTTATATGACTTCCTTTGACCAGTAATTCTCAGTCCACTCAGCTTTTGTGGTTTCCTCAAAATATTGTGTTTATTTGTGCTTGCCAAAAGAGTATTATGTTTCACTGATTCTAAGTGCAATCAGTGATATTTTAGCATATTAAATGGCAGTGTTTTGTTTTAGTGATACATAAATGATGTGTCTTAACTTGATGATATCGTAGATTGGAATAGTAAGGTATGTGGCTTTAAGATGCTGGTCTCTGACTTCTCTTAGCAGAACAAACAGTGTAGATTTCTGTTTCCCAGAATGACTTAACATTTTTCTGGGACTTCTTAGTTTCTACAATGTATCAAAACTACCGCTGGAAAACAATTGGGTGGTAGAAAGTAAGGTAGTTCAAACAGTGATATGCCCATAATAGGTACTTCCTGCTCCTTTTTATAAACAAAATAAAACAAAAAAAGTATATAGAATGAGATGATACACACATATATAAATACTTATCAAGAGTGAGATTTTTTTTAGCTCTCAGACCTGTTTATGACTCATTGTGCTTTTTATTATAATTATACAATTTAACCATGATAGAAATGGTTAAAATGAGTTGAATACTTCACAAAGATTCAATAATGGTAATTTTAAAAATTGTTTTCCAGTTAGGTATGAATGAGACAAGCATAAAAATCTAGGAATATTCTGCACTCAGATTGCTTTGTAAGCATTTTTAAGTTCTTACTCCATGTTTCTACTTTAAAGAAACCAAAATTTGAAATATTGGAGGATATACTATGGGTATGTTGTATATTATAAATGTTATATCTTGGAACTTCTCACAGTGGTCCTATGTTCAAAGAGGCTTTGGTCCTACATTAAGAGGTTGGTAAATGAGGTACATTTGTTTCAAGTTTTAAAAGATATATCTTTTAATGATTTTTGTCCTCTCTCCCTGTTTTTTAAGGGATTCCAGATGCACAGATTTGGGTTAATCATCATCTTTGATTCATGATACACTGTCATCATTGTTCCATGCATGGCTTGCTTTTAGTTTCTTTATTTGTATTATGTATTGGACCCCATGGATAAAGTTACCATGATTGCATGATACTTGCCCCAACATATAGCAGCATAAAACGACCATTTTTTTTTCAGTCTTTTAGGGAAGGGGGATGGATGAGGACCCAACAACAAAGTAGTGGTAGGAGAAGGGGAAGGGAGGTGAGAAAGGCAGAGAAGGAAGGAGAAAAGAGAATGTAGGAAACGGGGAGTGCAGGAGGAAAAATACTCAACAGTGGTAAGGAAAAGGGGGAGTGAGGAGAGGGAGATCACGGAGGGAGGGGGGAGGACAAGGCAAGAGGGGAGAGTGGAGAGGGCAGAGGAGGAGAGGTAACAGGAGAAAGGGGAGGGTAAGGAAGGAGACAGGAGGGAAGAAAAGGGCTGGAAGGGAGGGAGAGAAGGGGAGGGAGAAAACAGCCATTTTTTATGCTCATAGAGTCTGTGAGTCAGCAGTTTGGACAGAGTGTGATGGAGAAGGCTGATCTGTCCTCCGTGATGCCTGGGGCCTCAGCTGGGAGACTTAGAAGTCCAGGGGCTGGAATCATCTAAAGGTTTGCTCACTCCTAGGTTTGGCAGTTGATGCTGGCTATTAGCTGAAACCTTATCTAGGACTGTTAGCAGAAACACCTAAATGTGGCCTCTCTTTGTGGCCTGGGCTTCCTCGCTGCATGGGGACTGGGTTCCAGGAGCCAGTGTCCCAAGAGAAAGTGAGCCAGGAGGAATTTGTATTGTTTTTATGACCTGGCCTTAGAATCACATTGGACACCATGTACCACTCTCATTTCCCCTTCCACATTGATTTTTGAAGAGTACTTGCTTTTTATCACAACTGCCAGAAAATCATCTTCACAAAGATATGATGTCATTGAAAGGAATGCAGTAGTCTAATGGTAAAACTGTGAACTACCTTGAGTTGGTAATTCACACGTCAGTGACAGATACGGTTGTTCCCCGTGGTGCTCCACTGTGCCCTGGGGCACAGTTTGGCAACCAAGGTCCTGGTCTACATTAAGCTCCTGTGAGAGGCTGTGGGATCATACCCTTGTTCCTCTTAGAAGTCCTGTTGTCTGTTTGAAAGATTCTCTGAGCCACCATCTTAAATCTTTCCAAGATCTTCACAGAGTTTTACAGTCATGCCCATCTTTACAGCTGGTTTCCTGATACTGCCCTGGATTTAATCTCTGGTCAGAAGCCGCTTCTAAATGTTAGCATTGTTTGCTGTTTGGAAGGGCTAAAGAATGAGAAACAATTTTGGCTGTGATCCCAGCCAGTCCTAACTCCTTTATGTGGAACAGTTCTTATCTCTCACCTGCCACATTTTACCATCAGCAACTAAGAATCCAGGAGACACCTTCAACACGTGGTCTGGAAGTCTCCTTAATAGATCGTCTAATTCATTGAGTATATTTCCTATTTTGCGCATCAGTATAAGCAACAAAGTTGCTAAACAAAAGTGTCTCCTTTTCTTCAGCTTCCAGTACCGTTGATTTTCCTAAAGCCCTGACTGTCAGCTTCTTCGAGGGCTGTCAAACTCGAACAGTCTCTTTGAGGCCCTGGCTTTCACTAACACTTACCTCAAGGTGGTTCCACTTCCAACCAAAGCCCAACACCCAAACCTCTCCCATAACATTTTAGTTATAGCAACATCCAGCTTCCAGGCACCAAAAATCTGTTCCAGTTATCTGTTGCTGCATAACAAACCACCCCAAAGCTTAGTGGCTTAACAGGGACAGCATCTTTCTGTACTTTGGACGGAGAGTGGCAGGGATAGCTGTGTCTGCTCCACTGATAGTCAGCAGAGGCAGGTTCAAGGCTGGTATCTGGAATCATCTGAAGGCTTGCTCTCATATGTTTCAGTGGTTGATGCTGGCTGTTGGTTGAGACTATTTGGGGTTCTTGGCTAGAACTCTTGCCCACAGCCTCTCCATGTGGCCTGGGCTTCTTCACAACATGATAGCTGAGTTTCAGGAACAGATGTCTCGAGAGATCCAAGCAAAAGCATGGTACCTTATCTGATAGCCTCACAAGTCACGGTGCGTCACTTCTATCTCATTCTGTTCATCGAAGCAGTCACAAAGTCTCCCCTAGTTACAAGAGGAGCGGAAGTGGATTTCCCCTTTTTTTTTTCAATTTTTTTTTAATTGAGTTAATGATAGGTTACAATCTTGTGAAATTTCAGTTGTACATTAGTGTTTGTCATTCGTGTTGTAGGTGCACCACTTCACCCTTTGTGCCCACCCCCCACCCCACCTTTCCCCTGGTAGCCACTAAACTGTTCTTAGTCCACATTTTTAAATTCTTCATATGAGTGGAGTCATACACAAATTGTCCTTCTCCAGCTGGCTTATTTCACTTAACATAATTCCCTCAAGGTCCATCCATGTTATTGCAAATGGAATGATTTTGTTCTGTTTTGCTGCTGAGTAGTATTCCATTGTATATATGTATGTACCACATCTTCTTTATCCATTCGTCTGTTGATGGGCACTTAGGTTGCTTCCATGTCTTGGCTATTGTAAATAATGCTGCAATGAACATTGGGGTGCATAGGACTTTTGGGATTGCTGACTTCAAGCTCTTTGGATAAATACCCAGTCGTGGGATGGCTGGACCATATGGTAGTTCTATTTTTAATTTTTTGAGGAATCTCCATACTGTTTTCCATAGTGGCTGCACAAGTTTGCATTCGCACAAGCAGTGCATGAGGGTTCCTTTTTCTCCACAACCTCTCCAACATTTGTTACTATTAGTTTTAGATATTTTTGTCATTCTAATGGGTGTAAGGTGAGATCTTGGTGCAGTTTTCATTTGCATTTCCCTGATGATCAGCGATGATGAGCATCTTTTCATGTGCCTATTGGCCATCCGTATATCTTCTTTGGAGAAAGGTCTGTTCATGTCTCCAGCCCATTTTTTGATTGGGTTGTTTGATTTTTTGTTGTTGAGTTGTGAGAGTTGTTTATATATTATGGATATTAAGCCTTTGTCAGAAATATGACTTGCAAATATTTTTTCCCAATTAGTGGGTTGTTTTTTGTTTCAATCCTGTTTTCATTTGCCTTGAAGAAGCTCTTTAGTCTGATGAAGTCCCATTTGTTTATTCTTTCTGTTGTTTCCCTTCTCTGAGAAGGCATGGTGTCCGAAAAGATCCTTTTAATACTGATGTCAAAGAGTGTACTGCCTACATTTTCTTCTAGAAGCCTTATGGTTTCAGATCTCACCTTTAGGTCTTTAATCCATTTTGAGTTTATTTTGGTGAATGGTGAAAAAGAATGGTCAATTTTCATTCTTTTACATGTGGCTTTCCAGTTTTTCCAGCACCAT